AGCATATTTACACAGGGTACACAAAACCACCTCTCTTTCAAAGCAGACAGAGGAGTCAGACTGCTAGCATCTTTATTCAGGGTTCTCTTTATTTAGGAAGGTTTAATTTTTTTTTAAAGCATTTGCATTCCACGCTTGTTCAGGAAGTTTCATTCAAATTGCCAAATTTATTTCTATACAACTTGAGTATATGCAGAAACAGAAATAAATTGATGTTATCAGCATTGACATCAGAAGATGTGATGATGATGATGATGATTCAATAAAAGGGATAGCTTTTGTGTATTTATACGCTTCTCCCCCACCCCAGACAGTTAAAAAAAAAAATCTTCAGCACTCATTTCCAGCTAGACGTTAAATGTAGGCACAATTTGTCACTGAAGACTTTGCTCACAGGTACAACTGTCTTACTAGTTACATACTCACTGCTGGCATAGAAAAACATGAGTTGCTATTCTTCTCTGCAGAAGCATGGTTTTTAAACGCTGGCATAGATTATGAGCATCTTTCAAGGAACGTGCACATCCACACACTTCACCTTCTTATGTTCCCATGTACATATAACAGGTTGTAAGAAATAACATTTTAAAGTTAAGTGGAGATGGAAATAAAGAAACATGGACATTCTTAAATTAACAGAGGGTAAATTTATAAGGTTCGCAGACAAGACTACAGCACTTCAATACGAGTATCTTTGGTATCATTAGAAAATAACATTGCACTTGGTGGAAGCGTACAAAAAACCCCTCTGTAATGATATTAGCTTAGAATACACCACTCAGACGGATTAAAATACTCCTTAAAGGATGATAAATAAATACATAAATAAATGTAGTGTAACAGCAGAGTGAAGTATAGCATCTGCTGCTTGTTCACAGGGAAATGCAGTTCTCTCAGATGTTTCTCCCAGCTTTGTTTTTCTCCAGTATAATGGATCTTCATTTCTATTCTAGTTCATCAGAGAAGGAAAGGGTGGGGGGAAGGCCTGCAGCAAGAGCAATAGGAGTTCTACTTTGATTGTAGTCCATTGAGTTTAAAAATCAGGAGATGAGTCTCTTCAGGCTCTCTCAGCTTTTCTTCCATATTAAATGAGATAATAGATGTGAAAGGTGATAAACAGCACTGCCACCAGGAGGGGCATGCTTCCTGCAAAGCCAAAATGAAGAGAGTTAGAACCAAAATAAAAACACGCCCCATGTCTTCAGGCTTTACTCAGGCTGGATCAGGATTTCTCTCTCCCCTCACTGTCTGCAATACCATTTTTGCCCAATTATTCTTAGAGTTGCCTCAGAACTAAGAGTAATAATAAGTATTACTGCTACTAAAGTTTTGGCTAATTAAGCTTTATTTAAAACAGCTTTTTTTGAAAACGGAGTACAAGCCATTTCTGTTACAGAGACCGTGTACTAAAAGAGGAAACTGGCAAAGAACCAGCAAACTGAATTTGGAGTCACTGTCTTTCTGCAGCTCCTGACCAAGAAATGTTAATGGTTGTTATTGCATCAGATACAAATTCTGGAGGATGCCTGCTGCCTCTTCCTCTCTAAATAAATAGAGGCACTGCAGAGCTGGCTTTCCCTACTTCATTCAAG